CATTTTCTGGAAATTTGGGGGCATTTGATGGGCATGTTTTTAAGTTTTCGTCCAAAATTCCCCTGCAGGGGAACAGGCCCTACCTAAGTGTAGGGGGGGGAGGCTTCTTAGAAGCACCTTGCTTCGTAGCAGGCGCAGGCCTTGTCGGTAGATGTAAGGCCGGCGCCTTCTACGTGAGAAGTAGCCTCCTTATAAGCCTTCCCACCTCCCCTTACCCCTTTGTGCGCGCCGCCAATGGCCGCAGGTACTCCCGTGCAGGCAGCATCCTGCTAAGCATGCCGAGGTTGCACTCAGTCTGTGCTGTTTCTGTCGCCTTCTCGCTGGCAGCCAGGCGTCGGCGCTGATCTCTGGCGCCGCCGCCGTTGCTTTTCAATGTGGCGGGCGCCACGCCCGCGATTCGCCCGAGCAGTACAATTTCTGTTTTCCACACGCGCTACGCACGGATACTGTTAATCACAAGCTGACAGTATTCAGCATGCTGAGGTTGCACCCAAGTGAGTCTTGACGGTTTTGACCTACCTGGTTGCAACAATGTGCAGTTCCCTGCAGGTTTTTTAAAGCCAGGTAGGACTACTTGCCCCCAGCATATGACGTCGTTTGGAGACTCGCATGTGGTGGCCTATTCGGGGCAGGGCGCAAGGGGCCGCTTTCTAAGGAGACGCCCCGATTCCGAGAAGGCGTGGGGCGTGCTGGCGTTGAGCCGGTGGCAAGTCCTTGGCCTCCCAGGTGGGGTCCGAGCAGACGGGGTCGGAGGACCACGCCGCATCGCCGGTGCATCGGCGATGCGGCCCGATGTGGAGCCCGATTGTCTCAACACCGACAGCGCCGATGCTTCGCCGATGGAGATCGCTCGCGACCTCATGCGCCAGCTGCTGGCTGGAGTCCTTGGCATCGCTCGGACGTGTGCATGTTTCCTTCGGCGAGGACCATCGAGGAGCATCCTGGATCATTTCGCGAACAAGCCACGCGCGAAACCGAACAAAAACACAGGAAATGGACGTCCGAGCGATGGCCAACGTCTGGGTCGCCCGCGCAGCAGGCCAGTCGCGCCTCGGGCGCCGCGGCTGGGGGCCCCAGGGGCGCGCCGCCTCGCGGGGCCGGCGGCGCGGGGGCACGCAGGTCGAGCGCGCATCGCAGGCTCGGGGTGCGCGAAGTTGTCAGGAGGGGAAAAAACACACAGACACAATTAATCGTCGATTCCCCAGAAAATATGGGAAAGTATGGGAAGTGGGGGGGAAGACACAACTTCAAAAAATATGGGAAAATAGGGGGAATCATTTTATTTGTGTGTATTTATTTGTGTGTCCCAGGGCCCCTTCAATCGCAGGCTCGGGGTGCGCGAAGTTGGGCGGCCCACGGCAGGCTCGCGTCGCGCGGGCCGACGGCGGCACCACCGCGTGCGTGCCTCGGGGGCGGCAGAGGGGAGGGTGATGATGAGGGGGGGGCGGATCTCATGGCGGGGGCCACGGTGCTTCTCCTGGTTTCGTGGCGCCTCTTCTTGTCTCGTTGCGGCTGTGGCCCCCCCCATCATTGGGGCCCCCGAGCGGTCGTGCGACGTGCACATGATTTCCCCCTCTTGGGAACGCCCCCTCTTGGCCGCCCCGGGGTTCGGGTTGCGTTTTTGAACGCCGCCCGTGCCAGCATCGGCCCGTCGTGAACGAATCCGGCGTCACGGAACCGCCGATCGTTTTCAGTTTGAACCGACCGCGGTGCGGCAGGTGACAAGGTAACGTCACGCACTCGTGCGGTTAGACTGCCTGAGTGCAAGCCGTGTGGCCGCAGCAGCGGTCGGGATGCCCGCTCTCCCAGCGCCGCGGACTTTCTCGCGTGCCACCCGATGTCTTGCAAGCACGCCCGCGCACGCCCCGTGCACGCTGCAGTTTGGGCCGTGCAGCCACGCAGCCCGACGGGGCTCCAGCGAGGGCCAAGTAGAACAGCACGAGTGCACCATCAGGTGGACAGGTCTTCAAATATGATGGGCGTGTGGTTTTCGAGAGCGCCGGCTCCACGAATCAAGTTGAGCAACATTGATTCAGCATCAGACTGAAATATCTGAAGTCATCGAGGACGCCTACGGCGAATCACCGCCGCCCCCTGCCTTCTAGGATACGTCTATGTGGCCAAACGTTTGGGCAATGCTTGGCCACGCTATTGGACCATACGTTCCCCCAGCCGTTGTGGAAGCCCTTCGGGGAACACGTGGGGGAGGCAGAGGAGGATGAGGAGAGGGAAGACAAAGGCGGATGAGCAGACGGGTGAGGATACCTGCTGTTGGGAGCTTCTTGGGTCTTTCTCGCGGCCTGCTGGGAGATCCCTGGGGGCCTCTTGGAGGCCTCATGAGGGCCCCCTTGGGCTTTTTGGGGGCCTTTTGGGGCTTCTTGGGGGCCTCGTTGGCAGTCTTACGGCGTTCCTGGCTCCTCTGACGCCGTCGGAAGCCATTTTGGGAGCCTCTTTGGGCCGTCTTGGGGCCCTCCTGGGGCGCTTCAGTGTCGTCTTGAAGGACATCTTGGGCCGTCTTGGGGCCCTCCCCTTGGGAGCCGTCTTGGGAGCATGTTGGGACGTCCTGGGGCCATATTGAAGGCCTCTTGGGCGCTCAGGTGGCGATCTTGAGGGCCTCTTGGGCCGTCTTGGGCCGTCGGGAGGCAATTGGGAAGCAAATCCCCCCCCAACAAAACATCGTAGGAAGACAATGGTTTTGGCCTCTTGGAGCCTGCCTGGAGGACCTCTTGGAGGCCTCCTGGGACGTCTTCGGGGCCTCTTGGGAACTTCTTGTGCCGTCCTGGGTAATGTTCAGGCCATTTCAGGCCCTCTTGGGTGCATCCTGGGGCGTCTTGGAGACATTGTGCGGCCATGGTGGGTTCTCTTGGGGGCAGTTTTGTAGCCGTCATGGAGACATCTTCAAGCACCAATGGAAAATCAATGATTTTGGCCCCTTGGGGCCTGCTTGGAGGACCACTTGGAGGCCTCTTGAGCCGTCGTCGGGGCCTCTTGGGAACGTCTTGGGCCGTTCTGGTAATGCTCAGGCCATCTTAGGCCTCTTGGGTGCATCCTGGGGCGTCTTGGAGACATCGTGCGGTCATCTGGGGTTATCTTGGGGGCATTGTGGCCGTTGTGGAGGCCATCTTGAGCGTCTGGGAGGCCTCTTGGGCCGTCTGGGGGCCCTGTGGGAGCCTCTTGGGCCTTCATGGGGCCATCTTGGAGGCCTCGTGGGCCGTCTTCGGGCAATCTTGGGAGCCTCTTGCGACGTCGTGTGTCGTCGGAAGGCTCCTTGAAGGAAATGCCAAACAACTTTGGCAAGTCACTGATTCTGGCCTCTGGGAGCCTGCCTGGAAGAAAACTTGGAGGCCTCTTGAACCGTGTTCGTGGCCTCTTGTGCGCTCCTCGGGCCGTCCTGGGTAATGATAAAGCCATCTTAGGCTGTCTTGGATGCATCCTGGGGCGTCTTGGAGACATCTTACGGCCAGCTCGGATCATCTTGGGGGCATGTTGGCCGTCGTTGAGGCCATCTTGACCGTCTGGGAGGCCTCTTGGGCCGGCCTGGGGCCATCTGGGAGGCCTCTTGGGCAATTTTGGAAGCAAGTTTGCGGGTCTCCGTGGCCGTCTTGGGCCGTCGGAAGGTCATGTTAAGCAATTTTCAAAAACCTATGGCAAATCAATGATGTTGGCCTCGTAGAGCCTCCCTGGAGGACCTCTTGGAGGCCTCCTGAGCCGTCGTCGGGGCCTCTTAGGCGCTTCTGGCGCTGTCGTGGGCTCTCCTGGACCATCTTGGCGGTCGCGGAAGCATCTTGGGACGGTCTTGGAAGCCATCTTGGGGCTATCTTGAGCTCTTTCGGGGCCATCTTGGCCGTCTTGGAGACACCTGGGAGGCCATCTTGGGCGTCTTAGAGCCGATGGGGTCAATGGAGACCCAAATTTGGGAACTGTCCAGGTGGCTCGGCGGCTTTCTGTGCCGAAGCCCCAGTGTGCTAAATTGTCGGGTGGTTTTTAGTTTTTTCCTGTGTCCGAAAAGAACTGAGAACCACACGAAATTTAGCATATTGGGAACCCCTGTGGCAAGACCACAGGGGGCGGCGGATTGAAGACGCCTACGGCGATTCACCGCCGCCCCCTGCCTTTTGGAATCGCCCATGTGGCCGAGCGTTCTGGCAAGAGCTCTGTCAAGTTATCGGACCATGTGTTCCCCCAACCGTTGTGGAAACCCTTCGGGTAACACTTGTGGGAGTATGGCGGGGAAGGTCAGGAGGATCAGGATGAGGATGACGATGATGATGATGATGATGATGATGATGATGATGATGATGATGATGATGATGGTGGTGATGATGATGCTGATGATGCTGATGATGATGGTGATGGTGATGGTGATGGTGATAATGATGGTGATGGTGATGATGATGATGATGATGATGCGTATTATGATGATGATGTTAATCATGAGGGTGATGATGATAATGATGGTAATGCTGATTATGATGATGATGCTGAGGATGATGATGATGGTGATGATGGTGATGGTGATGATGACGATGATGATGGTGGTGGTCATGATGATGGTGATGGTGATGGTGACAACGATGATGATGCTGATGCTGATGATGCTGCTGATGATGCTTATGATGATGATGATGATGATGATGATGATGATGATGATGATGATGATGATGATGATTATGATTCTGATGATGGTGATGATGATGATGATGATGGTGATGATGGTGATGGTGATGGTGATGGTGATGATGGTGATGATGGTGATGATGGTGATGATGATGATGATGATGATGATGATGAGGAGGAGGAGGAGGAGGAGGCGGAGGAGGAGGAGGAGGAGAAGTATGAGGATGAGGATGAGAGGAGGATGATAATGAGGATTATCAGAAGGAGGAGGAGGAGGAGGAGGAGGAGGAGGAGGAGGAGGAGGGGGCATCTTGGCAGCCCCTGGAGGCAATCTTGGGGCCTTCTGGGAGCTGCTTTGGAGCCTCTTGGAGGCATCTTGGAGGCCTCCTTGGGCCTTCGGAGGCTTCTCGCGGGCCTCTTTGACCGTCTTGAGGCATTCCTGGCTCAAGCCATTTTAGCTCAAGAGGCTGGTTTTAGACTGGGATGTGAACTGAAAATCTGTCTGCATACTTTTCCTTGGAGCTTCAAAGCTCGACTATATAATCACATACCTACGGCTGTGATATCAGGGACTCCTTAGACTGTAATCATGGATCAAGCGCCTGCTCGGAGACTACAGGACGGACTGCTGACTATGCCCGGTCCGACTCCTGATGAGATTTACGCGTGTTCCGAGCTTCATGTAGCTGGCGCGGCCTACTTGAAGAAGTACGGCCTGATGAAGCATTTTGGGGTGAACGCGGGATTGATGGACGAGTTTCTGGTGAATCATCCCAGAAACTGTGTCGGCGCTGACCGTGAACCGCGCGGCCGCGCGATCTCCAAGTTGGAGTTGATCAAGCTCTGGTACGGACGGACTCTAATGCCCATGCGGCACATGTACTCTTGGCCGGTGCCGACACCGGGCGCCCTGGCACTGATCAAAGGGACTGTGGAGAGCAGGAAGCTGAAGGGTGTGGTTGAGATGGGTGCGGGAACTGGGTACTGGGCTAGCCTGCTCAAGGCAGGAGGAATCGATGTGATCGCTTTCGACAAGGACATCAATGGAATGAAACCGGACAAATGGGCGTTCGTCTGCAAGCCAGTTCCTTTCCACGACGTCTACCTTGGAGGCCCGGAGATGCTCAAGCGGGGTGCCTATTGCACGAGAGCGCTCTTTCTGTGCTACCCTCCTTCTGGAGATATCATGTGCGACCAGGCTCTGTGCAATTTCGAGGGCGACTACGTGATCTACGTAGGCGCTCTCGACCGGCTACACTGCTTGAGCAGCACGCTTCCGGAATGTTCTCGGGCGGAACATCCGATTGGAGTGGGGACAGGGCATCCTCTTTTCTTTATGAGGCTGGCGAAGGACTGGGACGTCGTCCAACACGTTCCGCTTCCCTCGCACTTTTTCTGCCGCGATCACCTGGTGGTGCTCGAAAGGCGGGTGGCTTGCAGGAAGGCGCCTCGGCCTGAGATTCACGAGAGGCTGACTCCGAAGTGGAAAGGTCTGTCGCCGGAGGAGGCTTCCGATCACGTGCGCAAGATTGATCAAGAAAATAAATTGGAGCCGGTTCGAGAAGGAGTATCTCACCTACTGCGACGCGCACGGTCTTGCGCCACAGCAGTCGCCGCTCTCACTGGCAGAGTGGCAATCCGCGGTCGATCTGGCGCATGTGGAGGAGACCGGCGCGTGTCAGGACGGTGCACACGAGGGCGGTGCGGAGCACGGGAATCCACTCGAGAAGGTGGAAGTGGACGCAGCGAAGCCGTGGAAGGAGTCCTTGCACGCGCTGATGAGCGAGTACCCCCAGGCCACCACGGAAAAGTTGCATGAAAAACTCGTCGTTTTCTTCCCAGATCTCAACAAAAAGACAGTGAAGAATGCGCGCGCTAAGCTGCAAAAAGAGAAGGGCAACAATGCCGGCGAATGAGTCGTCATGACCATCGCACCTTTGGGGATCCATTCAAAACAGAGGTGCAGCAACAGCTGCAGAAGATCATGTTACTCGGCTTGTTACATGGTTGCGTCGTTTACCACCCGAGTCGTGACCACCGCTTCTGTTGCCGAGTCGGAGGCAGACGACCATAGCCGCAGCCATCATCGTGTAACTTGTGTCGCTTTGCAGACAACGTGCTAGGTACGCGCATCCTGCAGTTTCTTATCCGTCTCCTGATAGCCGTCCGTTGACCCCTGCAGTACAACGTGTAGGGGCAGTGTTCGGCAGAACCTGCCGCTTGAAGCTACAGAGTCTTGATGCTTAGAGGGGTGCTTGTTGTTTGCGTCTTGTTGCAGAGTCAGGAGGGGAAAAAACATACAGACACAATTAATCGTCGACTCAGAGGAAAATATGGGAAAATATGAGAAGTGGGGGGGAAGACAAAAACCCAGAAAATATGGGAAAATATGGGGCATCTTTTTATTTGTGTGTATTTATTTGTGTGTCCCAGGGCCCCTTCACAGAGGTCCGCAGATGCGCCTCTCTGTTCCCTGCGTCCGGCAGGCCCGCAATATCTTAGAAGCGGTTCGTGTGGGCAGGCTTGCCATCGCCGCTCGTTAGCACAACAGCAGCATGTCCCGCCGCTCTGTGCAGTTAGATCCTCTGGCGAAGGCAGTTCTTTTGCGCAGCCGAGCCCCACTATCAATGCCACGAGTGAGCCATTGGAAATATATATATATTATATATATAGTATATATATATATATTTATGATATATAAACATTAAATATTTATAAATAAATAATAATACATAAAAATATGAAAGCAGTTTTGAAGCCGATTTGACGCCGTTGTGGGGCCTCTTCTGTGGCTGACCTGGGGCCTCTGGGGGCTTGCTTGCACCCTGGAAGGGACAATCTTGGGCCTCTGGAGGCCTCTTGGGCCGTCTTGGGGCCCTCTTGGGGCCGTCTTGGGGGCCTCTTGGGCCGTTCTTGGGGCCATCTTGGAGGCCTCTTGGGCGATCTTGCGGCGATCTTCGGGTGCTCTTGGGCCGTCTCGGGCCGTCGGACGGTCGACAAGAAGTATATGCCACAATCCTTGAAAGACCTATGAAACATCAATGGTTTGGGCCTTCTTGGAGCCCCTCTTGGAGGCCTCTTGGGGCCGTCTTGGAGACCTATTGGTGGGCCTCTTGGGCCATCTTAGAGCATCTTAGGCCGTCTGTGTGGGCTCTTGGCCCGTCTGACGCCGTCTTGGGGGCCTCTCTGGGCCAACTCAGGTCCCTTTTTGGGTGTTCCAGGGCCATCTTGGAGACCATCTTGGGCGTCTTGGAGGCCTCTTGGGCCGTCTTGGGGCCGTCTTGGGAGCCTCTTGGGCCGTTCTGGGGCCATCTTGGAGGCCTCTTGGGCGATCTTGGGACGATCTTTGGGTGCTCTTGGGCCGTCTCGGGCCGTCGGACGGTCGACAAGAAGCAAGTGCTCAAATCCTTCAAACCTTTTCCGTCAGCGGCGAGGTGGCGCGGGAGGCGGCGGGCGAAGCGTCCCAGGCGCCCGCAGGCGGCGGGGCGGAACAGCACCGCAGGGAGGAGGAAACGCGGGGCGGCCAGAAGGAGGTGGCAACGCAGCCAGAAGGCTGGCAGAGAGAGGTGAGTGGCGGCGACCGCCCACCAAGTCCTACTAGCACCATCGCCCCCGTGACTCATCCCTCAACCCCCCAACCCCCCGGCCGGATTTCTTTTCTTCTTTCCGCGGGGGGTCAACCTTCGCGGCGACCCGTTAAACCCGGGACCCCTTGGCGGCGCATGGATTTCTTTCCTTCTTCCCCGCGCGCGTTGCCGTTGGAACCCCTGAACCCCTCCGACTACCGTACAACTCGTACTTGAGTACAACTGGTACTATCATGTCCTATCGCGCAGTTGTTCCTAGAGAGCACGGGTTTCCAATATATTGGGTTTCCAATATACTGGGTTTCCAATATAATGGGTTTCAAATATATTGGGTTTCCAATGTATTAGGTTTCCAATATATTGGGTTTCCAATGTATTGGGTTCCTAATATATTGGGTTCCCAATATTTTGGGTTTCCAATATATCGGGTTTCTAATATTGGGTTTCGAATATATTGGGTTTCCAATATAGTGGGTTTCCAATATATCGAGTTTCCAAATATTGCGTTTCCAATATACTGGGTTCCCAATATATAAGCCCGAGCCCGAACCCAAACCTCACCGGCTGTAATTCAGTTGTTCCCGTACTAATACAAATCCCTAGTGCAACCGCGATTAAGGTGTTGTTGCATTGCACTTACAGTCTCGGCTCTCACGCTTTTATTCCTCTGGTTGCGCTTGGGGGGGTGGGACCCCTCGCGCGGGCACCCCCGCGGCTGGGAGTTCATTCCTCTTCCGGAATTTGAGGGGGGGGGTAACCCCCGTGCTCGAACCCCATCGCCAGGGTTTTTTCTTTCCTCCGCGGAAACCGGACCCCCTGGGTTCTTCGGCGCGCCCCATTTTTTTTTTCTTTCCGGTTGGGCCTCCATGGGTCTTAGGTTGGAGTCACCCGGGTGATCTAGCACCGAAAGAAATTAGTGAGTTTGGCCTCCTCGGGCCTTTCTGGAGGCCCTCTTGGAGGCCTTCCTGGAGTACCTCTTGGAGGCATCTTGGCCCGTCTTGGATGAGTTTGGCCCTCTTGGATGAGTTTGGCCTCCTGGATGAGTCTGGCCCCTTCGGGCCTTCCTGGAGGCCCTCCTGGAGGCCTCTTGGGGCCGTCTCGGCGGCCTCTCACGGGCCTCCCGGGCCGTGGGCCCCCGACGAGAGCCCTCAGAAGTCGGGACAGGCTCCAGGTGGTCCCAACACTCACCAGCCTCGAGCGGATCCCTACCCCTGAGATTGACGCGCCAAAAGGCGATGGCAATCTCAGGGATGCACCCTCAGAAACTCAGTTTCTGAGGGTGCATCCCTAAGATTGGCGTAGTAGTACTTTCGCGAGTAGTCTACTTGGGCATGAAGCATCGCGCGGGCTCGCATGCTTTCGCAATCAGATAGTTGCGCTTCTACCGACGCTACGCCACTCATTTTTAGCTGACATCATTTTTTTATCGGCGTTCTGTCGCCGAAAAAGCTTCGCCAGTAGAATGTCACTGCTGAAAACCGAGGGGATCCCTGAGATCGCCAGCGTGACGAGGCGATGCCCAACATAGGGACACACCTCAGGCGATGCTGAAGAAAACTTGAGCTTTCGGCCGGAGTCTCGATTCTTCTTAACGTTTCAATGTAGATCTTAAGATTTTATAATGGAAATGTTGGGTTTTTCTTCAAGTTCTGAGACTATGAATTTCTTAACCCATGATTTCTTAAGCATTTCGCAGGGTGTACAGTGTAATGCGTTGTCTCGCCCACGCGCCGACGGGCGTATGGCTTCTCGACTATTTCGCGTCGTCTTCGTGGGGCGCGCCGCAGGGTGTGGGGACCTGACCTGGGCCGGCAAAAAAAAACACGGTGCCCGAGGCCGGGCGGGCGCCCGCAGACGCGTGGATCGAGGGGCCGCGGGGATCGGCGACGCGCCCCGCGAAGACGACGCGAAGTAGTCAAGAAGCCATTCGGGCGAAGAGAACTATGCACATGCACCGATCCTGGCAAGGCCCATTTTTGACCCAGGATCGGTGCATATGCCTTCCTGGCCAAGGTAGGAGGGCGTATGCACCGATCCTGGGCTCAGGATGGGCCTGGCCAGAATCGGTGCATGTGCATAGTTCTTTTTCCTCTAGCCATACGCCCGTCGGCGCGTGGGCGAGACAACGCATTACACTGTACCCACCGGTCGTTGAAAGTGGGTATTTTTGGGCTCCCAGATTCCAATCTGCTTTCAGCGCCTTCCCACTTCAAGAGTCGAGTGGTTGTCCCTCTTCCTTCCCCTTCAGGAGGCGGGCGGATACCCAATCTGTTTCCAACGCCTTCCTACTTCATGTTTCTACCTACTTCTTCCGACCGATGGGTACTGCTCCTGGTGTGCCTTGCCTCCGGCAGGGCGCGCGGGCAGAAGAATGCGAAAGTTGGTGCCGCGACGGACGCCAGAGAGCAAGCCGCATCACGACGGTGACGCAGAAAACGACGCGAAGATCGGGGCAAAATCGGAGCGGGAGAACTCGAAATCTCTGAGAGTCGGCGGGTTTGGAGGACGTATCGTGCGCCGCGGCCGCTCCAGAGCGCTCCGGAACGCTCTGAGAGCGCTCCCGGAACGCTCTGGAGCGATTTACCCCGATCCTAGCCCTGTTTTACGCGCTTCCAGGGGAAAGCGCGGGCTTTCGCCGCCGAGCGGGGCGGCCCCGGGCGGCACTCTGGGAAGGGCACCTCCCCCGGATCCGTGGATCAGGCGACCGCGCGCCAGATCCATGGATCGCGGATCCATGCTTGCGCGCCCCCGATGAGGACACTCCAGCTCGTGCCTCAAGGATACAGTCAACCAGTATCTGGGTAGTCGAAGGCCAGACTGTCAGATTGGATTGGGCCCCAAGGGCCAATCTGGCCTGGCCAAACTGGATGATTAAGGGTTATTCGCCAGACTGAATTCGCGCAAGCTCCCTCGCCAGATTGCCCCCGTTTGCCAGATTGGGCCTGCCAGATTGGCTTCGACTACCCAGCTTGCGCGCCCCCGATGAGGACACTCCAACTCGTGCCTCAAGGATGCAGTCAACCAGTATGGTAGGAATGCGCGGTGAGGATGCAAGGGCATCGGAGGGCCATGCTAATCAACGTGTTTCGAACGGAGTTGGCCCGCGAGGGTTGCTGAGGAGGGCCGCCGGGGCAAGGATGCAATGTTATCTTTGGAAAGGCGCTCATCCTTACTGTGCGGGTTGACTGTAAGGGCACGTGGTCATTGAGAGGGCCGGTCCCTTCGAAGAGGCCCCCCCGCCTTCTCAGAGAGCCGCCCGCTGTCGCCACGCGCCCCCGTGTTCGCCCAGAGGCCCCTGAACCTCCGAAGTGTGGGTTCGACCTCCACTCCGAAGACTTCTGCTCCCCTCGGTCATGAAGTTGTGCCCGTCCAGCATCCGTTCACGGTGGTTTGTTCTACGTCGTCATGCCAGCGTTGCTTGCATCATATTTCTCCGCATGCCCATTCGCAGGGACGTTGCAGCGAACATGAGTGGTCAATGCGCCGTCTGGCGCAAAAGGATACTAGTAGCAAGGACCTTGTGAGCATCTGAAGCATTTGCGTAGTTTCAGGACGCAACCGCGCTGCACCCCTTGATCTCCTCCTCCGTCTCCCCCTCGTTCCTCATCCCTCCTCCTCCTCCTCCTCCTTGCTCCTTCTCGCTCGTCTTCGTTTCGAGGTCAAACCTCACAAGGGAAGCGGGGGGGGGGGCGCGATCACCGGATCACCGGATCACCGGATCACCGGACCTCCGGATCACCGCGGATCACCGGATCACCGGATCACCAGATCACCGGACCCCTGGATCACCGGATCACCGGATGGCCCGATCACCGGATCACCGGATCACCGGATCACCGGATCACCGGATCACCGGACCTCCGGATCACCGCTTTGATCGTCGGGTGGCTGTAAGTGCGGTAAGAGCGTTCATCTTACATAATCTTAGTTAAGCCATAGAACGTACACTTGTTGATCGCGCATCTCATGTGTGCATATGCAATACTTATGGTGTTTGTAAGTGTAGATGTAAGTAATATACTAAGTTAGATAACTCTGCTAAGTCGATGGGGCTGAACATATT